CATAGCCCACGGCTTTAGTGCCATAGTACAATAAAGTATAATTAAAAATTAATGCACAGGCTCGTGCCCCAGGGCTTTAATGTCAATTGGCTTGCATCCGACTCATATCATCGTTGTTGCTGCTGTTGCTGTGGTTCCTTGGGGGCCATCGAGGTGAAGTGCTTATACAAAGCCGCCTGCCATCACAAAAGTTAAATATATGCAGAGGGACCGGAAGAGAAGAGATCCGTAATATTATTTTACGTTCCGTTGCGCAGCCAAAATCAACATCATTTAAATGCAACAAAAATAACTTGTTCATTACCCACAGCATATTGAAAGGCAGACAGTCGTTATGTATATTTTTTTTTTATATTTTTCTATATTTCGGTTTTTTTGTGGTTTTTGCTTTTTCGTTTTGTTCACAGAAATTCTCATCAAAATATCAAGTTACGTACAATAATAGTATTCATACGTTGAAAAATGCCTTCGGTTTATACTTATACAAGAATAAAAATAACGTTTTTCTAATTATGCTGATGGTTCTTCCTCGACTCCTCTACTCTGCTCCTGTCTCCTATCTCCTGTCCTGTGATTCTTTTGCTCCTTCCTCGCACTTCTCTCATTCACTTTTTAGATGTTTCTTTTAGCTTCGCTTTGCTGTTGTTCTTGTTTGTATAATAAACTAATTCTAAATACAAGAAAATTTCCATTTACTTTCCGAATTTTCTCCACCTGTTTTTTTGGCCTCTTTTTGCCGAATGAATGTTTTCTCGTGTCTTTGTTTCTTACTTTTAGTTTTTTTTAATTTTCTAAATTTTTTTATATTTTTCTTTGCCCTTATTAAATTGTATCCATATGGAGATTCAATGCACAAAAAGCCGCAACAAACAAGCCATAATAATAATTATAATAATTCAATAATTTTTTTGTTTTATTTAATGAATAGAATATGCAATTACATTTTAAGGGGGATCGCAGGGAGGGGCTGAAAATATGCTAATTGAATTCAATTCTATCAATAATTCCCGCAGTTAATCAACTAATTTGTTGTGCAAACATTTCGTGTCAGCTGCAAAAAGCTTCCAAAAAGTTTGTCCAAAACAAATTATCGAGAGTATGATGCAATGCATTCCATTATCATTATATTTTTTATGAATTTATTTAATGTTTTAATTTTCTGCCTGATGAGCGAAGCGCTAAAACAAATTCAAAACAGAAACAATTGTCCGGTGTGTTGGGTTTTAGGGTTGTGGGATTGTGGGAGAAGTGCTTGCCTTTAAGAACTTAGCACACACATCGAATGCACACATCGATAATAAATAATGGGAACACTGACAATTAGATTTTCTGCTATTTCCTATTAGCTAAGGATTTCTCTGCTCTTTTGCGCAAGCATTAAATGTAGTTTTTTGTTTTTTTTTTTTGTTTTTTGGTTTTATATTTTCTTTTGATTTACTTTACTTATGGTTAAATGTATTCTCTGTTAATGTGGTTTTTCCAGTGCCAAAACATGTGAATTTTCCTTGTTATACATTTAGTTGTTCTTGCCTATGCTTTATTTTGATATCAATTACGCTTAAGACTACAATTTAATTATGAATTTCGAGTCGTTTTGCATCATGTACAGAACTCAGGAGTGGGCTAAACTAAGTTATTGCGTAAAAATTCTATATAAATCACCGTTTGCTGCATGCCACCCAAAAATATTTTCGCTCTCACGCTGCCTCCCTAGACCCTTGTCTAGAGCCATCTTTCAGGACTCTTTCCATCCACTCGCTAGTAACCTTTCGTGCGTCTGTAGCTCAAATAAATGTAATTCTTTAGTTGTAATTTATAATGCTGTGCCTTAATTCGTAGATGCTTTGCATAATCCTCCTCAAAAACGGCTCCACGTCCCGAATGACGACTTCTCCACTTAAGACTGAATACATTTAAAGTTAATTCACATACGTACGAGGACACACACACACAACTGTCACGTAAATAGGTTTGCCATACATTTATATATCTTAAAATATATATGTCCATGTATATATTTTAATATACATATAATACACATATATAATTTCTGTAATGTAGTTTACTTTTTGAGTTGATTTAACATTAAACTAATTCATTTCACTAAACTATACACAAAATGTTTACGAGTTATGCTCTTATTTGCCTACATAAAACGTGTTTTCTCGCCTCCCTTCCACTCCCTCTCTCCCACCTACACGTACGTGTATGTATATACGAGTGGTATATATCTGTATACATATATATATGCTTTAGCCTGGGGTTGGGGTTGGTTTCTCTATATATTTCTGCTATGCTATGCCTGGGCATCCGTCCGCCATTTAGTCTACATTTAAACTAAACGTTTATGATGTTCTGCTCTGCTTTTCCCAGGGAAATCATACTTGATGATGGTGGGAAGTAGGGTGAGGGTGAGGGTTTGGGACGCAGGGAAATTGCTAAGCACATTTGCAACCGAAACTCTAAACGAAATTAAAATGTATTTACTTTAGTTTTAGTATACTTTATTTACTTTTCCTTATGCATCCTTGCTGCCAAATCTTCTACCAGCCTCTGCACCATCTTCGGCCTTTGGTTATTCTGCTCGACTGTAAATATGTAGAAAATGTTTATAGATTGCTTTTCCAGCAAACGGCAACGGCAATGGCACCCAGACCCACTCCACTCCACTCCGCTTCAACCCATTATACTCCTCCCTTCGAATGCTGCAGCGGACTGGTCTGGACCCAAGGGGCACTGCCTTGTAAAATGTGCCAGTGTAGACAATAAAATATATTCATAGTTATCGGGTTAGTACTCTCTAGACTCACATTCAGCGTTACTTAAAATTCGTACTTCATTAACTTTAATTGGGGGATCAAGGGATCGTGGGACCTCGGGATTAGCCCTGCCTCTGCCCTGCCCATTGCCCTGTCCTGCCCTCTTACGTATGCGTAGTTTGCTGCCGAATTTGAGACGCGAAATGATCAAGTGAGAACCTATGACTATCGCTCAGGGTCACTGCTGTTACATCAATTTACAATTTGGAGTACCATAATTTGGGGTTTCTGTTTCATAATCTCATATATATATATATATGTATGTATATATTATTTTTATGTTGCAATTGTTGCATAAACGCGGAACACCTCGTTGACCAGTCTTTAATTTTTTTTGTTTTACTTTTTTTACACATTAATTTTGTTTAATTTTCTCTTTTAAAATACACATTTTTTGTTGTAAAATACACATATATATATTCATGGTTTATCTATATCCATATCCATATTTATAGTTACGCCCAATCGAGTTCGTGACCATCATATATCTGTTTAAGGATCTAAATATTCTTTAGGTTTCTTGGATTTTTAGTTTAAAGGTTTTCTATACAAAATATTTCTTACTTTTTGGGTTTACATTTTAATATCTTTTAGTGTTGGTTTTGGTATTTGATTTTAGGTTTAGTTTTGGTTTAATTCCATCTCGAAAAGTTAGACTAAACTGATTGAAGCATTTTTGACACATCGTAGACATTTTTGGATATTTAATTTTTCCCCGTTTCGTTCACAAGTAGTTTTATTGTTCAGTGCAATTTTCACTTGGAAGCCAAACGGTGTATGAACTGGAAGGGGGAGGGTCAATGCACTGCAATTTGGGGATGGGGCTAACCATTTGTGGGGCTTTGATTGGATGATATCTGGCTACATAGAACATCGTAATTACAACAACATTCAAATGACACAAAGCACAAGCAACACACTTACATCGATACATCTAGACATATCGATAACATTAGACAATTATCGTTATATTCTTTCTCTGTTCCACAATCAGTGAGAATTATGCTAAGGAAAGTAGACAAATAATGGAGATAAGCCGTATGTCGTGATCTTATATTTATAAACATCTAAACATATACATACATACATAGATGTGTAATATATCAAGAGTTTTACTATATTCTTTGCATGTTTTCTTCTTTCAAACGAGAGGAAGCGTGTGCCCCCTTTTAACTCTCTCCTTCCCCAAGTAGTATCCCTTCTGGTTAAGTTTTCTTTGTTTGTTTTTACTGGTTGTTTCGGTTTTGGGCTTTGTTTGCCTTAGCTATTTTGTTGCTGTTGTTCTCTGGATCACAGAATTTCTCATCACACAAACCATAATGCTTGATCGATCGATCGCGATCAACGTTGTATACTTTGATGTCGTGTCTCATTTGCTGAGTGGTGCACGTGGAAATGATTAGACCGTGGAAACGTACGCTTTTCACATTCTTTTTATTCATTAAAAATAATTAAAAATAAACAAAAATGCTGAAATGATAAATTACAAAATAAAATGCAGCACACAAAAGAGTAAAATTAAACAAGTAAGAGCTAACTGATCCTCTAAATTAAACGAAAAAAAGACAAAATTTGCAAAAGAATTGGATTAAAATTAATGAGGCACATAAAGAAGAATTTCTATGATATATCCAAACAAGAAATTGTTTTCCAGTCGTAGATCGAGCGATAAAAATTTTGATTAAATTAGTTACACATAGCAAACAAAAATGTGTTCGTAATACTTTCCATCACTTAGGCAATGCACAAGAGAAACTGCATTAAATAATTAATTACGTATATTAATTAAAAACATAGCAACAAAATTGCTTTTCCTCGGAATTCAAATGAATTCAGGCTCCGATTAATCGTAATTCTAATGATGATTTGCTTTAATTTTGAGTGGTGCGAAATGCAATGCAATGTAAAATCAGACCTAGGCAACATTTAAAATTAATTTAAGAAAAATAAGCATTCATCGTTTTGTGTTTTTTGTTTTGTTTAAAACATATTTTGCACTTGTTCTTTTTTTTTTCCTATCCATATTCCTATTTTCTGTTTCTGTTTCCGTATTACTGACAGATGATAATCTTAACTATTTTTACGTTTACACATTTACATACATTTTTTCTAGCTTTACATTTTTTTTTCCTTCTTCTTTTCATGCATTTCTTTTCTGTTCTGTTTTTGGCAGTGTTCACAATATGAAAACAAAAATATTTCTTTACTCTTTTCGTTTTTTTACAATCTTTTTTTTTGTGGATTTTCTTTTTATTTCGTCTGCTGCTTCATTACTGATTACAAGTAATGTCTGCTTAGCTTTGGTAAATTGTACGATATTTTTGTTTTGTTTTTTTGTTCAGAACGCGACGCTAAATGCTAGGTATGAGGGGGGTATGCGGGTGCGCGGGTATGGGGGTATTTGCGAAATTCTGGTGATTATGCTGGTGGCTTAGACTTACACTTAACAAGGCATTGAAACAAATCGAATTTGCAATTGAAACGATAATGATAACGATAACCATAACGAAAACTAAAACGATAACGGTGATAATGGCAACACAAATATCCATCGGAATCAGAGAACTTTATTTTCCATCTTTGTGCTTGTGTTGTGATGCTTTCTTTGATTTTCCTCCCACTCTATACACTCCTTCCCTTATTCTCCATTCAAATTTTCCTTAATTTTCAGTTATTTTGATTAGCGTTACGCAGTTTTTTTCATCGTTCCTTGATGGCACACAGTTTCCGCTGCACTCCGACTCCGCCGGCGGTGCTACCACCTTTCGTATGCGTCTCCGTTGACGTCACCGCTTAGATCTCGCCTCACATGTGTCGCTTCATGTGGAGGGCCAGATGGTCGGACCTGGAGAAGCACCGATCGCAGTTGCGGCACTTGAACGGCTTGGCCCCGGTGTGCTTCCGGTAGTGACGCGTCAGCTCGTCGCTCCTCGCGAAGCGCCACTCGCAGCCCTCCCAGGAGCACTTGTACGGCTTCTCACCTGCAACGAGTGGATGGAAGAGAGGGAGAAAGAGAAACGCTTATTAAATAAGTTGTTTTAAAAATGGCAAAAATGTGTGTGGAGCTGAATGGGGCTGCAACCGCTGCTGCTGCTTCTGCAATAAAGCGCATAAATATGCGTAGCCAGAGGGGGTGGTAGATGGGGCTGGTAGATGGTTCTTTTGGTGGCAGGGAGATGGGGTTTTGGGAAACATTTTTTATTTAGCACGCGCCTGCCAAATGAAAAAACTTTTCCGACGCTGCCGCTCGTTCCTCGGCGGAAGCGAAATATGCATAAAGTAAAACACGAGTAAACAACCAACACAAAGGGATGAGCGTGAGAGAGAGGGAGAGATGGTGATGGAGATGGAGAGAGGGTTGAAAAAACACAGAGAAAGAGCGGGAGAGCGCGAGCCAGGAATGTAAGACAATTAAAAATGAAAAACTGTAAAATTAAAACCGAAACGAAACGAAATGATGCTAACGCTGATGCCGACGGCGACGCCAACGTCAAACGGTGTGCCAAGCCGTCGTCCTGGGTGTACGGTCCACGGTCCACGGTCGACAGTCCCCAGTCCCCAGTCCTTTGCCAACATTTTTCATGCGTGCCAAAAGCCTCAAAGGATACAAGCGGAGTGGCAGTGGCAGTGGCACAGGCAGCCAAAGCGCCAAAAGCCAACCGGAGCAGGAGCAGGAGCCAGCCCCTGAAACAGGTCCTGAAACAGAGCCAGAGCCACTGCCACAGTCAGAGCCACAGAATCAGCCAGGCGAAAGGAAAAGGAAATGCAGAAGTTGTAATTTCACACAAAAGCAAACAAAACAAAAAAAAGGAACCTAAAAATGCGCACGAGGAACACGGAAACAGAAAGAGAGCGGAGCGAGAGGGCCTGACTAGAGCAGAGTGTAAAGCTGGGTAATGCCAGAGAAATTCACACACACACACACACACACACACACACACACAAAAGAGGGAAAAACAGAACAAACTGAAAAAAATGGCAAAATTATTTCAGTTTAAAAGACAAACAGCAGAGCCGAGGCAGGAAATTGCCGCCGTTGCTGGCTCTTTTTCCCAAAAAGACGGAGAGAAAAAGAGAGAGAAGGAAAGAGAGCTCGCCAAAAACAAAAAAAAAAAATGGAGCAAGATAACCGGCAAGTAGACGACGACAGCCAAGAAAAATGCATAAAGCTGAGTGGAAAACTTTGTAACGCACACCACACAAACACACACACACACACACACACACACACATACACTTGGCTTAAAACTTAATGCATGCGGAAATGTGTGATATTTCCGTGCTCAATTTCACATTATGCACTTGCGGCTTCCCCTGGCTCGGGCTATCTCTCACCCACTCTCTCTTCGCTCTTCGCTGTTCACACTTCTCGCTCATTCTGCTGGGGCTGGACTGGCCTTCCGCTTGTGGGCTGCTGTGGAGCTTCCAGGGATGGGACTCGACCATGTCTTAATTTCCATTTGTTTACACTTGGCCATTGCTCAAGTCCTCCATTCGTGTATCTGCAGCTGTATGCATGAGTGTATTTGTATCCATGTGTAGGGGCAAGCAGTATATACATACATGCAGCGTGTGTGTGTGTGTGGAAGTGTGGGTGTCTGCCACTTGCACTTTGGCATGTTGTCAGAAATGTTTGGGAATCGAAGCATTGCCAATAAATAAGCGACTGCACAAACACAATCACACTCCCACACATACATGCTCGGCCATCTTTTTCTCTCTCCATCTCCATCTCCACCTCCATCACCATCTCTATCGCTCTGCTTCTGGCTGTCTCTTTCTAAATGCCTCTTGCAGCTCTTTCTGGCGCTGTGTAAATCACCGTCAAATGCACAAAGTGCAAGCTCACACAGATCTAGGATGCGACCCCCAAGAGTCTCGTATTGAAGTGCATTTAAACGGCAAAAGAGCAGGCGAATGGTCAGGGGTAAAAGTGTTGCACAGAAGGGAGCAGCAGCAGCAGCAGCAGCAGAAGCAGCAGCGATAAAGCAACCAAAATGGCCGTGTTATCTGGCCATTGAAGTGGCCCCCCAGCAAACGAAATGAAACGAAACCAAACCAAAAACGAAATAAAACCGAAACGAAGCCAACAACAAACTGCAGAGGCAATCGGGGCTGAGCAGGAAGATCCTGACCAATTTGATACCCTGTATGAGATAAATTGAGCCTCAAGTGCAGCTAAAGGAATCAATTTGTGTAGCAGGATTACATTACAAGTTCGGTATCCGAAGGGATTACTCTGGAGCACTATTCGCGATAGTTTTGTACGCCCTTACTACGCGTACTACCCTCTAGCGGGGCAAGATGTACGAGTGCGAGTATCTGCTGGAATGCATCCCATGCCACTGCCATCCGCCAATGCCTTTTAATTAGTTTTCAGGGCTGCCATTGCAGCTGACATTGTTAGCGGCAATGAAGCAGCGCGACCTGGCCAAAAAGCCACCCAATTGGCAACTGGGTTAAGCGCTCTTCTTTATTCTTATTTTTATATTTTTTATTTTTTGTGTTCGCTCTTCGCGGCTTTTATACGAGCAGCTTCCGATGCTCCAATCGCGACGTCGAGACGTCGCCATGTTAATTTATTGAGCCGAACGCAGTTAAAACTTAACCTCAGCCGTTTGTCTGACTCTACTATATTGATAGTTTCAGTTGCAGTTGCCACTACGGTGGGCTGGGGGCAGAGTGCTGCTACCGCTCCGCTGCTGCTGCTGCTCCTTCTGTGGCAGTGGCAGGCCATAAAGCTTGCACTTGTAAATTGTTTAAAGGCAATAAGGAGTCGGCCACAAAAGCCACGTACTGGAGGAGGAGCACGAACAGCAGCAGCAGCAGGAGCAGCAGCATCAGCATCAGCTTGCTTGTCTACAGCAGCCGCTTAGCAGGAGAAAAAGGACTTGCCATAGCGTATGGCGGCGAATGGAGCCAGTTAATATTTTATAAATTTCACTTGGCGTTGGGTTTTAATTTCAGCTGGCAATAGAAAAGAATGCCCCGACGGGACATGCGATGCGATGGGGGTGGGGGTGGAGCTCGGTGGTGCATTCTGCAGCTAAGAAATCCCTTCGGGCGCGGCTCCTGCCAGGCGCTCCTTTATATGGGGGGGAGAGCCTTGCGCTCGTCGATGCCTTCTCGGCTTTTGCACTCAACACAATTTTTATGGTCTGTTTGCGTCTTTCCACTTGATTGCACTTGTAATCTTTTCTTAACGGTTTCAGTGCCTCGAAAACCCGGCGAACTTCTCCCCCACCCACTCATATTCCCACTGCTGGTGTCTGTGGTTGCATGCAACTCTGGCATTTTTATAGCCGGCTCTGCGTTTAACTAATTGAAATCTTTTGTGGCAAAAGTTTGTGAGGAATTTATTGCAGCGAATGGCGCTTTAATTGATATTCAATTGTGTACCCATATACGCTCGTATCTATCTATACAATTGGATCAGTACGACTGGGAAATGCTTGAATGGATTCCTAATTAAATGGTCCGGGACATGCAAATTGAAAAGCCCGACAAGCCACAGGAGGAAACGCAGGAAGCGCGCTCGAGAGCCCAAATCAAATTAATTTCACTGTCTGCCATTGCACGCTGCTCTTTACTCTCCCAACTACCACCGCGACCAACCCATCCCATGGCCCCCACACGCTCAAGGACGCCCTGTTTGGCCGGTGAATAATGGCTCATCATCAATTATTTGCATGTGTCCGCTTTCTAATGCGACAGCATTTAAAGAATGCCCCCAAATACATTTTCCCCTTCGCTTAATTTTAAATGCAGAAAACGTAATTCATTAGATTTTCTTTAATTTAAGCCAAAATAAAAAAAGGAGCGTCGCCCGGTCTCCATGGTGTCATTAAAATAATTACGTTTTCCTCTCCCAACGCTCCAGAACAGAATCCCTCATGACTTTGGCCTTGCCACTTTTTTTTTTCTGTTTGGGGGCGTCCGAAATCAAATGTTTCAATCTTATCGCTGGGCCAACACCTTGGCTTTTGATTTATTAGACTCCTCTGACTCCCGCTGCTGCTGCCGCTGCTGTCCCTCCTGCCACTGTTGCCCCTCCTCTCAGCCGTAGAGCATGTGTAATTAATTATAGAATTCCTCTCTTTCATTTTTTATCGGCCCAAAACGGATGTTGGCACAATGGAAACTTTCTGCCAAGCAAATTAACACTTTCCGCACTTGGGGCGTTTGGTCGGTGGGGCGATGGGGTGGTGTGCGTAGCACAACAACGAGGTGCCAATCAAGCAGTCACGCCCCTTCAAAACCGCCCCTGGATGAGCTTTGCTGGATTTTCATTTGAACAGTTTAGTGGCAGAGAATCCTGGCACTGGCTCTGACTCCGACGCTGGCTTCATCTCCAGCTTTTGCTTCTTCTGTTCTTGTTTTTGTGGGCAAAGATAAACTGAAAATTATGAGCAAAAACTTTCGACTATTATGGATTTTTATTGAGCCAGAAGTTTTTGGCTTTCTTGTGGCAAAGGCAAACAGAAATAGCAACAGCAACAACAACAACAACGGCAGCACCAGAAGCAGCAGAGAGACGAACAAACAGTTTTGAGGAGGCGCAGAAATTGAATGTTAATTAAAATGTTAAGCCTCGCATCCTGGGGCCACAGCAAATTTACAAATTGAGCAATATCCTGCGGCTGACACAGAAAGTTGTTGACTTTGTATGCCAGCTGAAGGGGAAGGGTGGTGTGGTGTGGTGTGGTGTGGCAAGAAGCATGCTCGTACCTTATATTGCATATGCATGAATCGTCGGCCCTCCCCCAGTTTCTGCCCCGGCCCTGCTCAAGCTCAAGCTGATGATGATTGGTATGCTCTGAAAGGGTCACTCAACAGCAACTTGAACCAACATTTGGGCACTAAACAAACACTCGCTCCAAGCCCCGGAGAGACATTCGTTTTTGAGTGAGAAATATCTCTCGTCCGAATTTCATTTGCTGATGAAACATGCTGGGCATGCAAAGAGCCAGCTAACAATTCTAACTGATGGCATGTGATGCGATGCCAACACTTGGACGCAGAAGTGAACAAGTACACAGACACACAGCAGGCTATCCACAGAATGGATCATTTTCCACAGTTGGAGCATACATTCGATTCGTTCAGAGACCTACTTCTGCAGTAGGAATTGTCTGGCAAAAGATATACTTTGCCTGGTATTTGGAATGCTTGATCGCAGTAGGCATAACTTCCGAACCACCCAGGCTACACCTTATAGAACTGAACTCAGGAAAAGATTTTTGAGGCTGCCGAATTGTGCGGCTCGTGGATCTAGTCTGCGGCAATATTTGTCTGTTTACGATGTCTCGGAAGAATGCCAACGTTTGGAATTCTGGTTTTGAGTGTGTGCCAAATGATTTGTGTGGCTGGCTGTGGCACACACCCCTTCAGCTGCTGCTCCACATAACACTGAAAACTGACAAGCAGAAACAAAACTCTGAATCTGTGAAATTCATGGAGGGTCGAGAGTCCGGATAATCCGCCGCTCAACGTATTTTAACTGAATGCGCACAAAACTGTTCTCCAACAACTGCAAATATTCTATTTTTTTTTTTGGAGTTGTTTTCGCCCACTTTTTGGCAGAACTTGAAATGGATTTTGGTTTCTATTTTATGGGTTAAGTGTTTGCTGGCAGAGCACACGCACACGAACACGAACACGCACAGAGGAGGCATCTACATGGGGCACAAATCAATAGATTTGCTCTCTGGTGTTCGACTGTGTGGTTGTAATAAAATTACATTTCATCGCTGGGATTTCTCTCTGCCTCCTGGCACTCTGCGACCAATATTTCATGTTTGAATTATGCGATTTTTATTGAAATTTCAAGCATCGTCTGCTGTCCGGCCATGAGGTTGTTTTTGGGGCCTCAATTGCCGGTGCTCCTCCCTGGTTGGACGACTCTTTCGCTTCGCTCTCCTGCTGCATGTTGCCTGCGCGACTGCATGGACAGCGGACAATGGACGGCAGACAGTGTCGGGGCAAACAATGCAACATGTCACTCGTGTGTCCCAGGGGCCTCTGTCCAGGACATTGTTGTCGCTGGCCTCTGATTTATTAAGGTAGCAGAAGAGCGACGACCAGGCTGGTGTGTCCTTGCCCCAAGGTGTGTGTGAGAATGTGTGTGTGGGCACAACTTTTAATTGGTAGCCCTGACGGGGACGAGTATTTCCCATGGCACACTTTTCGGGCAGGGTATCAGTTGGGTCTTGATTTTTGTTCCTATGCCATCTCCCCCCCCCTCATAATTCAGCAGCCGGCACTCGAAGCTGTCAGGAGCAGCACACACACAATCCCACATACCGTTCATTCCGCCCCGCCCCGCCCTGCCTGTGCCACATGGCCGTGGCAAGCACCAACTCACCTGTGTGCGTTCTTTGGTGGGCCTTCAGATGCGAGCTCTTCGTGTAGACTTTTTTGCAGCCTAGGAATTGGCACTTGTGTATCCGGCGCTTGGCGTCCGGGCTGTGATCGCTGTGATGCTGCCGCGGGTGATGACTTTTGGCAGAACCTGAAGCGAGACAAGAGTCGAGGGTCAGTCACAAGGGTCACAAGAGTCAGAGGTGTGATGCTGAAAATGGGGCAAGTGCTGGTGCTTGGCTGCCATACGCACCGTTTGTGGATTTGTCAGCTCGTGGCGCCACCACTTGTTGCTGTGGTGTCGACGCGCTGGAACTGTGGGAGCTGTTGCTGCTGGCGGCCGCACTGAGCACGGCTGCCACATTGGCATGGCCATTGTTCTGCATCTGGATGACGCGTGCCAGGCTGATGCCGGCCGCTCCCGGCTTGCCGTTCGCTGTGGTCAGCCGTACGATCGTGCTGCGCGGAATGTTGCTGTGGGTTGACTGATCCTTGTTGCAGCTGCCACTTGAGCTGCCACTGGAGCTGCTGTTGCTGCTGCTTGTATTGCCGCCGCTGTTGCTACCCCCATTGCTGTGGGGCGAATTGCTGCTGCTGCTGTTGCTGCCGCTCTGGCCGAGGGCCTGCGGCGATATGCTCAGATGCTGGACGGCCAGCTGTTGCTGCTGCTGCTGCAGTTGCGTCATTGTGGGATTGTTTTGGTGATTGCTGCTGGTGAAGCGCAGGATCGCTGTGGCGGGTGTGGAGTTGCCTTGCTGTTGTTGTTGCTGTTGCTGCTGCTGCTGTTGCTGTTGCTGCTGTTGTTGCTGCTGTTGCTGCTGCCGCTGCTGTTGCTGCTGTTGTTGGATCAAGGCCGCCAGATCGTTGGCCTCGATCTGTTGCGCATAGTTGTTGTGGCTCCGCAGGCTGGACTCTGGCGAGGATGGCGGCGTCAGCGTGGGCAGGACAAAGTCCTGCACGTGTCCAAGATGAAGCCGCGCCCCGTTGCCCATCTGGCTCTTGGCCTGCACCACGCGAACCTTGAACCCGGGCGACGAGCTGCTCGGCGAGCTCACGGTGATGGTGCTGGCGCCGCTCAGGCAGCTGTTCGCTTGACTCATGCTCATGCTCATGCTACTGCTGCTGCTGCTGCTGCTGCGGATGATGGGGCTGCTGCTGATGCTGCTGATGCTGATGTGACTGTTGCTGCTGCTGCTGCTGCTGGTGGGTGTCATGTTGCCGTTGGCACTGCTGATGCTGGGATTGGGCGAAATGGCCGAGGGTGGCGCCGCAAAGAGCACGCCCAGCTTGTCGTCGCAGCCCACCTCCTCGTCCTCCTCGTCGATGCGCTCCTGCTTGACCAGAACGGCACAGCTGAGCGCCTGCGATCCATTGCTGTCCCAGGAGATGCCCGAGCAGTTCGAGGAGACCGACGATGTCGTCGAAATGGCATCCAGGTTCTGCTCCTTGATCTTCAGCTCCTCGAGCAGCCGGGCGGGCGTCGAGAATATGTCCCAGGCCGATGTGTCCAGATCGCTGTGTATCTTCTTGCCGAGCTTCGGCTCATCCCGCAGATAGCGCTCCAGTTCATAGCAGGTCTGCAAATACAACGAAAAAGGGAATGGAATTCATGAGTTAAAATCGTTTGCTGCTGGCATGAAAAGTTGGTCCATTAGGGTAATGGATGCTGCTCTCTAGTTGGCTCTCGCAATTCAATTTGCCCGAATATGCAGCGGAGGAATTTTCGGGCACATTAAGCCGATAATTTAGTGGCACTCATTCTCATTCGGTGGGGTGGAGTGGGGTGGGGTGGGGTTTGGTCGGTACTTTCCGGGCCGCTGTGTCTGTCCGCGGGCCATAAACATAACATAAATTTCAAATTATGTTTTATGCCTCTGCCTGTAATTACAGGTAATAATTTTGGCCATTGAATTTATGGCCAGTTGCATACTTTCAGGCGTCGCTCTTCTCGCTTAATGGAGGCGACAATTAGGTGCACGTAAAAGCCGCATCGTGCAGTGCGGCAAGGGGCAACAGTCTACAGCCCCTTTGATGTTCCTGTGGCAGGTTCACTCGAGCGATTTCACTTGCATCATGCTGTGTGCGTGTGTGTGTGCAAACAAACGGCATGTTGCTGCAAGTGCAAACAACCGCCCGAGGCACTTGCCCCGCCTCTTCGTTGCAACGATTTCAATATACGAGATCAAAGTTTGTCAGCGCATCCACCCCAACCCATCCCAACCCACCCCACCCCACCCGTCCACCAACCTGTTTGTCCGTCGTCAGGTATTTTGGGCCCTTAAAGTCGCCCACAAATGGAACACATGATGAGCCATTTGGTGGGTCATTTGCTTAAGCGAGGATTCCTTTTCTGCTCTCCCTCTTTCGGGGATGGATTTCCATTTCATTGGGGGTCTAACAAATCTTATTAAGTGCAATGCAAAAGCACAAAACCCAATGGGGCGGTATAAGCAGCAGCATCAGCAGACATCGGACAATGCGTCGGACAAGAGTCCTTTCCGAAGGGAAAGGGACCGTTTGGCTGGGATTTTCTTTAGTTTTCTCGTTGAGAGTGGTCCGGGCGAAGGGGCCCGCACTCACATGCCCCGCGTAAATCACTTTAAGTGTTATTCCAAGAAAATAATTGCAACACATAAATTTCGCAACCCTTTCCCGAAAGGGAAACACACACAAACACACACAAGAAGCAGGAACAACGCAACAGAGCAAACTATAATGGTTTATGAATCGGGATGAAGGATAATGGGAGTGGGAATAGGAATGGGGTATAGGATCTGGCTTAGACTCCTCGAATGTTGGTGGTGGCCTCAACACGTTACCCCTGGCCATGATTAATGGGCGGCTGCTGCACTTACCTCCCACTTCCGGGCCACTCACTCAGACAACAGACAACAGACTACAGACAATGCAAGCAGCAAGCAGCAGCAGCAGCAGCAGTGGCAGCAGCCCCATGGTCTGGGCTCTAGCGCTGGCCGCACGCTGCGGGGCAGGACAATCTTTAAGCCAGAATCTAAATAAAATGTAGCATGCGCGCAATGCAAAAGCAATTTGATATATTGTCTAACGGGGAGATTGGAGTGGGCCATTGGCAGTGGCAGTGGCACTGGCACTGGAAGTGGCAGGCAGGTGGCCAAGGGAACTGCTATCAAAAATGGCATTTTGATTTATGCGCTCCAGCACTGCTGCTGCACCGCCCCCCGCCCGCTCCCGGCGATGCTGCAAACAAATCACGTGAGCCAACAGGCCAAAGATTAGACGCGACTTTTAAATTGCTCACGGCGAATGGCGAATGGCAAATGGCGAATGTAGCAGGGAGCGAGGCAGCATACAGGTACCACACCTGATTGATGGCCGGCGGGTGTGTAGTTCAGGTCCTGGCCAATTTATAAAATATAAAACGAGGCAACATTTACTGCTGGTCCGCGGCAGCATTCACTTGCATGAGATGAGCGACATCGGCATCCCCTCATTATCGAGCTCATTATGTTTTGTTATCTCATGTTTAGTAATTAGTTTAATTATAATTGCGGCTGCCACCGGTGCTCCTGCCGCCGATTTTCACTGTTGGCTAACTGATAATTGGGCAGTCAGGGCTAATGGCTCATAATTGCTGCCCAGGAAAAGCTAACAAACATGATTTTAATTAGATTTCCAAACAAAAACGAACTCCAACACGGAGTGGCATACGAAATTAGTTTGTGAAATTCCGAAATTGTTGCAGCTACAAATTCCCCATTATAGATTTTTAGGGAATTTCTACATATATTTACATATATATCCCCTAGCAATATATTTTGCAATATAAGCATGATGATATTCGTACCAAAGAGTGGCCACAATTATGGCTTACATTAAAACTACAGATATTTCTGGTAGCATGTACCTATGTACGTATTAATGGATATTGACGGTTGTTGTCGGCTTAAGCCCTCAACTGAAATGCAAGAGGGGAAAGAGAAGAGGACACTTAGCGGCAGATTGAAGAGGGCAAAAGTTGCCGCTTTGTTGTAATCAACATAATTATTGTTGCTCCAAAGTTCTCTCTGCCTCTCCCTCTCCCGAAGTAGGGAAAACATTTTTGTTCTTGTTTTTGGCACTGATGTGTGTGTGAGTGTGTGTGTGTGTATGTGTGTGTGGTGAGTGGGGGGATAAAACTTTTCTAAGAAACTTTTTTGTAGCTCATTTGTGTTTAATAGAAATTTATTTGGCTGCCTCAGTATGTGACTCTGTGCAAGGTCCTTTCTTTGGGGAGGTTTTGGGCGGGGGGAATGGGGCGAGTGACAACAAAACACTTTTCCACACACACTTTTTGCCAGCAATTTATGGGGCACAAGTACACGCTGCCTGTCCCACTTTGGGCCACATAAAAATCTTCATTTCCGTTGTGTCTGCCTTTTGTTTTCTATTTCCTATGCTATTCCTATTCCAGTTGCTATTCCTATTCCACTGTAATTCTGTGTCTGTTCTGTTTCTGATCTTAAATTGTGGTTTCCCCATTTGCCATTTCCCTTTGTCCCCCATTTCAACTTTCTCTATGGGTTTTCCTTCCTTCTTTCGTTTTTTTTTTCTGCAAGTCTGAGTCTGGTTTATGCCTTGCACTTAGGCGATGTGATGTGGCGACAGCTGCGGTTATTAAAACCTGCAAATTGTATTTATATCTCCGGCAAAGTGGAAAGTGGAAAGAAGATTTTGACAGACACAGAGGCAGAGGCAGAGGCAGTGACAGTGCCAGAGGCAGAGAGCCGGAAAGCACATATTTCCGCATAAATTTATTGGCTCAAAGATTAGCCAGACCGGAAAAGAGAAACAGATACAGATACAGATCCACAGGCACAGGCACAGAGATACGAGACACACACTCACACTCACATGTGTCTGAAGTACACTTTTAGGCTGACAAAAAAAATATATGCAGAAATGTTTAATTTTGTGCAATTATCTAGCCGCAAATTGTTTGCCAAGTGGAGAGCATTTGAGTTCTCAAGTGAGGGAGAAAGAGAGAAAGAGGGAGAGCTCTCTAAAATAAAATTGTTGAAAATGAAATGTTTGCCCAAGGACCCGCCAGTCTACCAGCAGGAGCAAGCAGGACTTTGGTGGCAAATTGAATTTGGCCACAGCAAATAGAGTTTGTCATTTGTACAAGAGGGGCAGCAGCCGTAGGGGGGGGGAGTGCCCACCCCACCCGCACACATGCTAATGTAGAATAAAAGCCTGCGATTAAATTTAATTATCTTGCGTGTTTATTAAAATCTACAAAATGCGATCCGACATGGGCCAAAGGGACAGAGAGCAGAGAGGAGAGAGGAGAGAGTCTTGCTGCTGGGAATATCGCACAATTGGGAGAGATTTGGGAGTATTTGTCTGGCACACACACACACACACAGCAATGGGGCTGTGTCCCCGCGGGATACCACGCCCCGGCATTGGTGGGGGCGTGCAACATATTTAATTATGTGTGTAATTGAAAAAGACGCAACGGCAGTTAAGACATGTGGGGGTATGCCTTAAGGAACCGAAAAAAGACGATGAAGACGCGAGAGAGAGAAAATCAAGCCGGGACTATTATGCGGCACACATGTCTGTGAAGTGTCCTGGGCAACCCGCTGCGATATGCCACACATGTGTAGGAGTGTGTCCTCGGTGCGTGTCTGTGTATTAGAAAGACATTAGTAGACGCCAGCGGGCGGCAGTGCCATCGCCCTGCGGTTACAGCGCGACAACAGGAGCAGGGACCCAGGCCTCAAGAGCCAGGACTCAGCGCAAGGAGCATCTGTCGCTGCCGCAGCAAAAGTATCCCACACACACACACACTCGTCGCATACTGCGTACACAAATACAATTTTGGTCTCTCCACTCTGCACGCATTATGTCATTTAATGAGCCATAATTCCACGGAGAGAAGATGGTGCCACAGCCACAGCCTTAAGCCCTAGCCCCCAGGGGAAATGCTGCGAGGAACAATTTTTGCCGCTTTCCATTTGGGAGTCGCTGCCAACGCCACCGACTTTCATTTTCGAAAGTTTTAATGAACGAAACGTAATGAAATTATGCCGACAATTAATGTCGACCGTCGTTGGGGAGCCGGAGCCCCAGAAAGCACTTTAAGCCCCGGCATTGGACCATTAAAGATGCGCAAATAAGGCTGGCAAGTGCCAGAGATTTCTTTCCCACTGTAACGTATCGATTCCAGTGGCAAGTCGGTTCTGGCATGCGTATAGGATAGGAATATCAACATAAAAACCCTCGCTATGGAGTTTATCTCACAGTTTCTCTATCAATAAATGCCAGAGTGTAACTTTCTGTGATGTCCTGTGATGTATTCTGGTAACCTTTTAGACAGGGTACTCCACACATTGTGTACGAGTAGCAATCCTAATGAGCCATTTCAGAGATCCTTCCTCGCACTATCTTGACCTACTCTAAAGTGATAAACCGTGTAACGATACACACAGGCAATCTGTCCATCCATCCATCCATCCATCCATTTCCTATTTATGTTTATACCCACAGACGAAAGACTAGCACCAACACAGATTGAAACATTTCGTGTGTCGTTTGGATTGCAACTATTGTTTTC